TTAAAGGCTGAGCAATCCTTATATCCATTACTTGGATCTTATCAGTGATACGGAGTTAAGCCAGGGCTGCTGGAGTCAATGGAATATGCATAGTCTCCCTGACTCATCCTAATTCAATTAGAGGGAACTGTGGGTTGAATTTGATTCCTGAGAGGAGATTATAAGAGAAAAATGAGGCTTATCCATCCTGGCCTATATTAAGTCTATTTATGTGCACATTATGTAACAAATTGGGCTCTTAGAAGAGTATCATATGAATTTGTCCTTAAAAAAACAGGAAAAAATTACGGGTGTGAAGAAGTTTGGGGGGTAGGGTATAGAATAAGTTACTAGAATTCTGCTTCAAGTAATACGAAGTTCTGTTTTCAACAACATACTCTTATTGAGAAAGTACTGGAAGAATAAAAAACCTGTACTATATTTTAACTTGACAAAGTCCTAATATTTAAGAAAATCATTTTCCCAATTATCCTTGGGCAGATGCTGTTGTGCTTGAAACATGTTTTCGTCTCGAACATTTTTCTATTTCTATTTTAAGTGTAAATAGAGGTGCTTCCAAATGTGCGTGCTATTTTTGCATCTTTGGACATTTATATAAATATGAATTGAATAGATCATCTTTGATATTCTAACAGCTTTTACCCACAAAAATGACATACACGGGAAATAGGAAGTTTTGTATGTTCTATTTCACTTGGAATAACGTGACTTTAAAGTGATCAAATTAAAGTTAAATATATATTCTCTCTTTACTATCTTGAAACCCCTTTTTCATGTTTTCCCAAGTGATTACCTGTACACCCCTGATGATAGCTTTGCCATGTCTGTCTATAACCTTAAGTCTTAAATAACCAATAACAAAATTTGAAAATTCAGTATTTCCTTTATATAGTAATCACGATAAAATAGTTGCACTTGAAAATGTCAGTTAATATTGTAATAAAGTTAGAGCTACAAACCTGACATCTGTAATCGTTGTCAGTCATAAAAATATAGCAAATTGGGATAAATTTAGTTCAGTCATTCAAACAGATTGAAGCTTCTTGTCACCTGCTTTCCTTTGTGATTTGATTACCTTGGACTAGGTTTTTCTTAAGGAAAAAGAAAAAAAAAAGGTATTCAAAGGAAAAAGCTAATAATGAAGCAAAGGAATTACTCAAGAAGCTTACTACACTTTGCCAGTCTGCACAGCCTTAAAAGGTGTTAATTTTCTTTCTGTGGTGTTAAAATTCTGCATTGTCATTTTCTAAACAGTGATAATACAAATAACCTTTAGTATTCTTCACACAGTTTTACCCCAGAAGTACACTACAGTAGGCTAGCCTCTTTTGTGAAATGGGGACAATACTACCTGCTGTGACATCAGAGCCCCTGTGATTGATTGATTAATGTGTGCTAGACACAATAAGCTATATGGATTAAAGGAACTTTAGAAGGAAATATTTAATTTTTAACTTTGATTGCAATATACAACTAGTATATTAAAGATGAAAATTTTAGTCTTGAAATTCTTGAGGTCATTTGATCATTCCAAATACCACAGTCTGTCTCTTATATAAAATGTTTCTTTAAGAAGCCTTTACAATCCATGTGAAAAGTAATTTTAAAATGCTGGATGATAACTAGAAAATCAGATAAAAATCCAATTAAACAAGGTAATAATTTAGGTTATTAAATGCCATTACATGGACACTATTGTTTAATATACATACAAAGAGAGCAGCATTAAATTTTTCAAATTTAAAAATTTTAACTTGACATCTGTGTCTATAGAAATCTGTAATAGCATTTTAGTTTTCAGTCAGCTGGCTGAAGGTGACTTAGCTTCACAAGTGTCCCATGACTTACATAACTCGCAAAGGACACCAAAGGCAATTTTACTCCAGCCCAGATGACATAATTCCTAAAGTCCTAATCAGGTACAGCACAGGTGAGAACATCATAATTCCTGGCTGTAGAACATAAGCATTTACAAAGATGAATAAGGGTTAAAGAGATCTAATTGGAAGTCTAGAATACATATTGAAAGCTCTGTATTAGAAGTCATAATTGGAAATCTAATATTTTATTAAATTCACTAAGAAAAATGACTAAAATGCAGTAAAACAACATATTCCCCTACAGAAGCTAAAATTACTGTTTCCCAAATTCACAATTCTGCAGACATAACTTTTGAAATAGAGGTGGATGGTGAGCAGCTCTCATTATGCACATGTTCTACATAGTGTTTTCGGCAGAAGCCTCAAGTTATTTTTTTCCTGGAATATTAATGAGATCTCTAATCGTAGTTCTCATTCTATAGTTTATAAATTGGAATATAATAGGGAAAACAATAAGCTTCAGTTGTTCTGGCTTTAAGAGCTAAAACTGCTTTGGTTAAAGAATCTCAATAATCTAGAAATGCTTAATAAACACAAAATAGGATGCACTGCACTGAAGTCAGCTCTATTTCTGTATTCAGTTTCCTTCGCAAAGAATCTAGAGGTACTTCTTTTTGGGGGCTATGACCTGTAAACCTACAGGTCATTAATTGGAGTCTCATGGTCATAAATTTAATCATGTGATTTTTTTTTCTCTTCCCTTACCTTCATCTGTGTTCTAAGATTTCATCTATGAGCATAGGATAATAATGGGTTCTGACTACAAGTCAAGCTATCCCTTAGCAAACAGAAACAATTACGCTTGGTAATAAGGTTAAATAATTATTGCTAAGCTATGTGTTGCGATTACAACAGAACTTTGAAATGACTACAGTATGATTAGAATAAGAATGTGAGCTAGCATACTTATGAAATGAACTGGAAAGTGTCTGTGCTGCTGTGTTTATTATAAATGTATTAGGATGATGGTTCATTTATTTTAAACTAGTCCAAAGAATAAAGTAGGTGACGATTGGAACAATGCACTAGCTTTAACTTTAGATTTTGTGAATGGCAAAATAATCATCACTGGTAAGATAAAAGAATTCCTTTAATTCACATTGTATCAGGTAATATTTTTTTATTTTTAGATACTTAAGCAGCCCTTTTTATTAAATTTGTGTATTCTAATCCTACAAAATACTATTTATGAGTTGTTAGGCTATTTAAAAACAATATCAACCTATTGCTTGCAAGAAACCGGTTTTATATTTTATGTCTAAGGGATAGGTGTGTTTTACAGTGGGCTTTTAGGCACTGCACTTTTACTGTGAATATTCACCGGAGAAGTTTGAATAAAAAGGAGCTTACATTTTCATAGATGAGGGGAAATTGTAATGCCACATGAGTTGGTTAAAAAAAAAAAAAAAAAAGGAATTATATACAACATCTAAGTTTGGTAGGCTTAGTGGGTTTGTTTTTGTTTTTACTTTTAACTTAAATATCTAAAAATAAGTTGTTCCTATTTTTAAAAAACGTACTAAAAAACAAAAGCTATCCCCTAAACATACCATCATAGTGCATAACTACGTGAAGAGCCTTAATGCTTCTACAGCCCAGTACAGAATATGGAACACGGAGGTTTAAAATAAATGCTCTTTATCCTCCGTGCAAGTTAGAACAAGCTACTCAATCATGCATTAAGACCCTCTCAGACAACCTTTATAGGTCATTCAAAAGTATTTTTTTTGTGTGTTCCAAGTGAACTGTTATTAATGCCTCAAACTTAGGTATCTGGCATTGTAGGTAGAGCCCCTTACACAAATTTTCGTGGTTTACTACTTTTAAAAGATCAATCAAAAACAGTGCTTTGGGGGCTAATATTTAGGGAACAAAGCTAATCCTTTCGGGAGTCATTCCATTTAGCTCTTGTAGGAAAATGAGAAACGTGTGAGGATATGCTACAGAACTTGTCAGAAAGGCACAGGGAAAGACAAGTATTACATGTAAAGTTGGAATCAGAAGTGCAAACGGAAAGGAAATGTTCTACACTTCGGGGAGCAGCTGGACGGGACTGCTTCCAGCCTCTCGCAAACAAAGTTTGCAGATAGGTGGGCTGGAAGCGGGTTTTGCTACAGCCGCCGCGCAACCAGGCGAGCTCGGGTTCCCAGGTTTGTGGCCACGGGGGGAGCCGAAGTGCAAGGACAGCTAAGATCGGCCGCCGTGGCCCGAGCTGTCCTCCGAGGTACTTCACACCGCACGCCACACTGGCCTAGGGCTGATCAAGGGACTTCCCAGAGGCTGCTACTGTCCCTCCCCACCCACCTCCCCCCGTCCCGCGGCAGCTTCCCTCGCCCTGCTTCTAGGAAGTGCTCAAATTTTAATTTTATTTCCGGTCTTGATTGAGATTCAAATATCCTGTCCCGACCTTTCGCTGTCCGCCCTCTCTGCCCTTCTTGCCAGTGTTCCTGCCAGCAAAAGCCTCTAGTTGCAGTACTGGGCATGTTGTCTGTTTTAACGCTCTCCGGAGAGCTGTGGCCCCTGCTCCCTCCCGGGGGGTGACTGCGTATCGTGCCTCGTACCCTGGGTTGACTCTTTCCCTTCTTTTCATTTTGGCCCCTCCATTTAGTACAGAGGAGTGCGAAATGTGAGCCCGGAGATGAGCCGTCTCGGCGTCCCCCGTCCGCCCACCGCTGTGCGGGAGGCTCCCCGGATCCTTGCCTGTGCTCCCCGCCAGCCTCCCTCGCCGCCCCGGGTCGTCCCACCACCGGTGCTCCGCCGTTCTCTGCCCCGCGCGGCACGGAGCAACCCCCAGGCCGGCTCGCGCGCCACGAGAGCTGCAGCCGCGCGGGCCTGGGGAGCGCCGGCGTTTCCCTCCGGGGCCGGACCCTGCTGGGCATGCTCAGTGCGCCTCCTGAAACCCGGCTCTCCCGGGGCCAGGATCAGTTCTCCGGGTTTTCGCGGCTGCCGAGGGGGCGCTGAGGAGGGGAAGCTGGGAGACAGTCAGGGCCTTGTTCCTCGCCCCCTCCCTCGCGCCCGGCTGCGGCCGCCCGCACCGCAAGATGCGGGCCAATCAGGGGCCGGGGGCGGGGCTCGGGCAGTCACGCCCTCCCTCTGGGCTTATTGAGAGTTATATCAAGAAATTCAGTTCAGAGAGGAGAGGGAGAAGGAGAGAGGGGCAGAGGAGAAGGGAGAGAGGGAGAGCGTGCAAGACAGGAAGGAGCGCCTTAGAGTCTCTGAAGCACGAAAGAGATAACCGATTAGGAATTTTTCAGGCAGCTGTCATCCCGGAGAGCAGCCAGAGAATCACCATCACCCCAACTCTGACGTTTCCTACAAGAAGTTAGAGACTTAAGCAGTATTGACATCGGAGGGAAATGGTATGCTTGATGCTGTGGAAAATACCCCAGAGCTGAAGAAGTGCAACTGGATGTTGTGTGTGTGTTAAATACCAGAAGAGCCCAGACCCCGTGGGTAATAGAGACGAAATGTGGAGAGAATGACTAACGACAAATCTGTGAATTTGTTCTCTGGAGTTGCTAATTTGCCAGCCCGAAGCAACACATTTTACAAGGAGGAAACGTTTTGCTGCTTCTGATTTCTCCCCAAACTGGTGCTACCAGATGCATGGCTTTCTATGTGTCGGAACAAATCATTCCTAACTGCAGCATACCGGGAAAGGGGAAAGGTTGAGGCAACTAACGTAAGTGTAAAGTTTCGCATGCACAATTGTAAATTTTGTGTTTAGATATGTCCTCAGTGTGGACGAAGGATGTTTGTAATTGGGTAGCCGGTTGGGGCAGAGCTCACCTACTAGGCTGTATCTGCATCCCTACCTGCATCACTCCGCTGGAACTAATCGCGGGCATCAGCTACCGTGCAGCCTAATGCAGATAAGATTAGAGCCTGGGAACTGACCAGTTCTACTCAAGTAGGTAGCTGCCTGGAGGCTTGCACCCATTTAAATTGCAGTTAGGGGAGCATCTAAGCAGAAGCCTTTTTACCTACTGTTACTGGGTTGCAGTATTTATGTGTGGCAGATGTTACTAATATTATAACCAGGGATCAGGGTTAAGAAACTGCATTTTTTTCCCTCTCTTTTATGCACAGTAGAAAATACTGTGCTGTTACATGGAAATGTTAGCTGCGTTTCACTTACATCTCAACACTCTCTTCCACATCTAGGATAAGGAATCCTGTTTTATACATTTTTAAAAGTTTTAGTGTGTTTCTTAATCCAAATGGGGAGAATTTGGCAATATGGAGAAATGAGAGCAAGGTCTGGGCAGGAAATTTGAAGTCTTGGTATTGTGCTTTTAGGCAATGAGGATATGTAGTGGCCGGTGACTATTGCTTCTGATGCTGCAGCAGCATGTCCGGATGCTTGTTTCCCAGTAAGATTGGATTAGAAGGCAGTTGAGGAACTGGGAGGAAAGAAAAAGATAGTCTTTTTAGACGAAAGAGATGACTCAGTGTAGCAGAGAAGAAAACATTACATTTGACATGTGACAAAGCAATTAGCAGGAACCATAGCCAAATACTTAGCGTTTTTCACTTGCACCTAAAAAAACTAAGGGAGGCGGGTTGGAAGCCAGGAGGCGGGTAAGACAGGGGGAGGGGAAGAAGAGAACACAAGAAGGCATGTTTTGAATTAAACAGTGTCCTGAAAAAACCAGTGTGGGTGAATACAGGTAAAAGTAGCAGCTGTCCTTAATTCAAAAGTAGATTAATTTCATTTTCTCTGGGCAAATGCAACAAACAGTGGATATTTAGTGTTTTCATCCACAGAGTTAACTTGCAAACAGTGGCAGAGCAAACTGCCATGTTTACTAATATGCAGTGGAAAATGTGTTGTGATATTTCATGACTGTGTGTTTTTGTTTACTGAAGAATAATATTGTCTATACGATTGTGTTGACAGTGGCTGTCTCCAAATAAGCGATGAGATGTAATGCATCCTCCAGTCCATGCACGCTTCCTCTTGCAATTCGTGCATCATTCCTCAGTGGAAACCTTTAAACCCTAAAATCCGGGAAAAGAAAATAAGTACATTATCATGGACCTGAGGGATTTTTACCTGTTGGCTGCTCTGATTGCCTGTTTAAGGCTGGATTCCGCAATAGCTCAAGAACTTATTTACACTATTAGAGAGGAATTGCCTGAAAATGTGCCCATAGGAAACATACCAAAGGATCTGAACATTTCTCACATCAATGCTGCCACGGGGACCAGTGCCAGCCTCGTCTACAGACTGGTTTCTAAAGCTGGGGATGCCCCTTTGGTGAAAGTATCCAGTAGCACTGGGGAAATTTTCACAACCTCCAATAGAATAGACAGAGAAAAACTCTGTGCTGGAGCCTCTTATGCTGAGGAGAATGAGTGTTTCTTTGAACTTGAAGTAGTGATCCTCCCCAATGATTTTTTCAGGCTGATCAAAATAAAAATAATTGTCAAGGATACCAATGATAATGCCCCCATGTTTCCATCTCCTGTCATCAATATTTCCATTCCAGAAAACACTTTGATCAACAGCCGCTTTCCAATTCCATCGGCAACAGATCCTGACACGGGCTTCAATGGTGTACAGCACTATGAATTGCTAAATGGGCAGAGTGTTTTTGGACTGGATATCGTGGAAACTCCGGAGGGAGAGAAGTGGCCACAATTGATTGTTCAGCAAAACTTGGACAGAGAACAGAAAGATACCTATGTGATGAAAATCAAAGTAGAGGATGGAGGCACTCCACAGAAATCCAGCACGGCCATACTGCAGGTCACAGTAAGTGATGTAAATGACAACAGGCCAGTGTTTAAAGAGGGTCAAGTGGAGGTGCACATTCCAGAGAATGCTCCTGTAGGCACCTCTGTAATTCAGCTCCATGCCACTGATGCAGATATAGGCAGTAATGCTGAAATCCGGTACATTTTTGGTGCCCAGGTCGCCCCTGCAACCAAAAGACTCTTTGCTTTAAATAATACTACTGGGCTGATTACAGTTCAGAGGTCCTTAGATCGAGAGGAGACAGCCATTCACAAAGTGACAGTGCTGGCTAGTGATGGCAGCTCCACCCCCGCTCGAGCAATGGTTACCATCAATGTCACTGATGTCAATGATAACCCTCCTAACATAGACCTCAGGTACATCATAAGTCCCATCAATGGCACAGTGTATTTATCTGAGAAAGACCCTGTCAATACAAAGATTGCCCTAATTACAGTTTCAGATAAGGACACAGATGTGAATGGCAAAGTGATCTGTTTTATTGAAAGAGAGGTCCCGTTTCATTTGAAGGCAGTGTACGACAACCAATATTTGTTAGAGACCTCCTCTTTGTTGGACTATGAGGGCACCAAAGAATTCAGCTTTAAAATTGTTGCCTCCGATTCCGGGAAGCCCAGTTTAAATCAGACTGCCCTGGTAAGGGTTAAGCTTGAGGACGAAAATGACAACCCACCAATTTTCAACCAGCCTGTAATTGAGCTGTCAGTTTCTGAAAACAACCGACGTGGGTTATACTTAACAACTATTAGTGCTACAGATGAAGACAGTGGGAAAAATGCGGACATTGTTTATCAGCTTGGGCCGAATGCCTCCTTCTTTGATCTGGACCGAAAGACAGGAGTTTTGACAGCCTCCAGAGTCTTTGACAGGGAAGAACAAGAACGATTCATTTTTACAGTAACTGCCAGGGACAATGGGACCCCTCCCCTCCAAAGCCAAGCGGCTGTGATAGTTACTGTTCTGGATGAGAATGACAATAGCCCCAAGTTTACTCATAATCATTTTCAATTTTTTGTGTCTGAGAATCTGCCAAAGTATAGTACGGTGGGGGTAATCACAGTGACAGATGCAGATGCTGGAGAGAATAAAGCTGTGACTCTTTCCATTCTAAATGACAGTGATAATTTTGTGTTGGATCCCTATTCTGGAGTCATAAAGTCAAATGTCTCATTTGATAGAGAGCAGCAGAGTTCCTACACTTTTGATGTCAAAGCCACTGACGGAGGACAACCACCCCGCTCCTCTACTGCAAAAGTCACCATCAATGTCATGGATGTCAACGACAATAGCCCAGTTGTCATTTCTCCACCTTCCAACACTTCTTTTAAGTTGGTGCCCCTCTCGGCCATTCCTGGCTCTGTGGTAGCGGAAGTTTTTGCGGTGGACATTGACACTGGGATGAACGCCGAACTGAAGTATACAATTGTGAGTGGGAACAACAAAGGCTTGTTTCGGATTGATCCAGTAACAGGTAACATCACTCTGGAAGAAAAGCCGGCACCCACTGATGTGGGCTTGCACCGTCTGGTGGTCAACATAAGTGACCTGGGGTACCCGAAGTCTCTGCACACGCTTGTGCTTGTTTTTCTCTATGTTAACGACACTGCTGGGAATGCCTCCTATATCTACGACTTGATTCGCAGGACTATGGAGACCCCACTGGACAGGAACATAGGGGACAGTAGCCAACCCTATCAAAACGAAGACTATCTCACCATCATGATTGCCATCGTTGCAGGTGCCATGGTGGTCATAGTCGTGATCTTCGTGACCGTCCTGGTGCGCTGTCGCCATGCATCCAGGTTCAAAGCAGCTCAGAGGAGCAAGCAAGGTGCTGAATGGATGTCCCCGAACCAGGAGAACAAACAAAACAAAAAAAAGAAAAGGAAGAAAAGAAAGTCTCCCAAGAGCTCTCTTTTGAACTTTGTTACAATCGAAGAGTCCAAACCCGATGATGCAGTTCACGAACCTATCAATGGGACCATAAGCCTGCCGGCTGAGCTGGAGGAGCAAAGTATAGGAAGATTTGACTGGGGCCCGGCCCCTCCAACAACCTTCAAGCCTAACAGCCCTGACTTGGCCAAGCACTACAAATCGGCTTCTCCACAGCCTGCTTTTCATCTTAAACCAGACACTCCAGTTTCCGTGAAAAAGCATCATGTGATTCAGGAACTCCCTTTGGACAACACCTTTGTCGGGGGTTGTGATACCCTTTCCAAACGCTCTTCCACTAGTTCAGATCACTTCAGTGCCTCAGAGTGCAGCTCCCAAGGAGGTTTCAAGACAAAGGGCCCCTTACACACCAGACAGGTAAACGAGCACTTTTACTGGTCCATGAGTACTGCATACAAGTGCCCAGTCAACCAGTATTAACGTGCCAGTGTGTCTATTGTTTCGGTCTAACTTTAGCTTAGTGTGAAAGAGGGAAAAAAAAAACTTGACCCCTTTTCTGTTCCTCTGGGGCTCAGTCAAGAATTTTTAGAACAGCTTTGAAATGTCTGAGTTCTGAGAATTATCTAACCTCCCAGTTTCCTTCAAATGGCAAAAGATGAAAAGAGGAAATAATTCCAAAAATGTCCCAAGGTAATGTTTGCTGAGGAAGAAAACCTGTCCTGATATGCCAAATTCTGCTCCTGGGGTTTCCAAATTGACTGCTTCAAGATTTTCACATTTCCTTTTGATCTAAAAAGTCACCTTCAAACCCGAAGTTTTAAATGACGTTTGAAGGTCTGACCGTAATTATTTTGGAGCTGTGGTTGCTAAAGGGGTTAATTTTTTTTTAGTCTCTAAATGAGATAGTAGATTTTTAAATGTACATCAGCTGTGAAGCACATGATTGTCGATAAGATTGCAACGAAGCCATATAGGAAGCCTTCTCTTTGATTTCAGATGATTTCATTGTAATATAGTAAATTGGGTATTGAATAGAAAGGTTGGCAAATTGTCCGTAATGACCAAAGTACTCTTTCAAGAAAAAAAAAAAAAAATAGAAGGAATACTTTCTCCCTGATATAACCAATTTATACAGAAAAGAATGAATCCATTGTAAATATTCTCCCATCTTAGTAATGCATAAGTGATCTGTCATAACTCATTTTAAACTGTGAAATATGCCATATGAAGAGGGATTAAGAGGCTGAGAAACTCATATTTCAACCAAATCCAGAATTAGTTTTTCTTAGGTCTAATAATTCCTTGTTAATAAAGATTTAAATGCAGCGCTGTCTAATTTATTTCACCGGTGCTTGTCTATTGCCATGAAATTTGAGTGTCAGTAATAGCCCTGTAGATGGCACTAGGGTATCATGTCGCTTGTGCTGGCCAGGTGCCAAGCCCGCAGTAGCAAGGAGAGGGGGGAAGGAAGGATCAAGCTGGTGCTACAGCCAAAGATACCTTTTATTTAATGACAGTTGCTCTGGAGCAGCCAGCATTTAAATTCATATGCTTGCTCTTTTGCGATTAGCTCTCACCACACAAACTTTCTAGGATTTCGCAATCCAAGTGTTATCCTTGTTGGTATTGTTGGTACTGAGTCCACCCATGGTGATGGCCCGTCTGAATTTGTTGAAGATAAAGAACATACAGATTTCAGAAAATCAAGGAAAGCAAAGTACATTTGCAGGATAGTACTGACAGTTGTTGATTAGTGTTTGAAAACTCAAGAGTTTTTCCTTTGTTATTTGGGGGGTGGGGTGAGATGGAATGTTTTATTGAAACTCTATTTCCCTCTTATAATCTAGTGTTTATTGCTCTGGAGTGACTTTAAGGTTTGGTGGTTATAAGATATTTATAAAAATAATTTCGACAATGAATCACATAGATATTCCCAGAACAGTAGGCATAATGCCTATGATTATCCCACTATAATCTCCACTTTTTAAAAGTGGAAGATTAGATACTTAGAGCATTTTAAAAGTACACAGACTTAGAGCTTGAATGCACAGAAGGAAAGGAATTAAAATAAGTCCATATAGAATTTCTAGAGGAGAATATGAAGTTACTCGATAGAAGTTCAAGTTGGAAGGATGTATTTTTATGTTAACTTCCTCAGCTTCTTAAGAGAGGTTGGTGTTTTAAAATTTAGAAGATTTCCGAGCTTAGCAAAGGTTTATGAAAGTTGGTAAATAGTTAATCATGTAAAGTTATTTATGATGCTAAATATGAAGTTGCTATTAATGAAAAGAAAGAAAATGGCTTCTTCTTAATTTACTTTTAATGTGAAGGTCACTCACAATATACTGAGACTTTATGATTTGCATAATAACTTGAAAAAAAGCTAACATGACTGAAAGTTTTCACATAAATTCTGAAATTTGTTTTCCAAAGGAAGAGACTGACGTTCTTCCGACATCCTCCTTTCTCTTGATGTAAACGTGGTGTGTTAGCATTGACGTGCAGGCTCACTTCTTCTGACTTCTCCACAAGAGTTGAAACTATATGTAGTACAGTGACACAAATGTTAAGTGCATTTCAGCAAATTATGGAAAAGATACTTTGTTGAGGCTTAGTCATAAGAATATTTGTATGATGTAATCTTTAAAATAGGATGCTGACTAATTCTCTAACTGGAACTAAAGTGCATTTTCGACATTCCTTGAGACCATGTGTCACTGTGCAGTTCTCACTGTAGGTATTTTGATGTTCAGACGTAGCTGTAATTCACTATTATGATAAAGAGCTATTGAAATGGCTTTGCTTATACCTTTTAGAAGTTTTCACGCTGAGAAAGAAAAATTGCAGTGTTGGAGGAAAGGAATATTGGAAGTAAGGAGAAGTGATGGTGATAGCGAGATGTACAATTTTAGTATAGAAGAGGCATATTTTCTATGAATGAAGAACACAAATTATATACTACCCTTTTAGTTTTCCTTTTTTAACTGAACCACATGAGTGTTATCTGAAGATGTTCTAGTTAAGCTAAAATAAAAATTCTTTTTTTAGCTCCTTCACTTCAACTAGTGGCTTTTATACAAAATGTGCTCCTGAAGCTCCATGATTTTGAAAAAGTAGGGTTTATTACAACAAAAGCTTTCAAAGGAATTAATAAACATATAATCTGTGAAGATTTTTAGGTGAGTGGGCACAGATTGCTGTTAACGGGAATACCTTTTCACTTAATGGTGCTAGGTGATGTGTGAGTAAAATTCAAGACTCCTGAGTAAAGGGTTTAAGTATCGTTAATTTGTATCATCTATACAAGGAAAACATAATGTCTGACTCTTACACCATGAGTTTGTTTATAGAGCACTGGTTCTTATTTTGTCTTCTATTCCCCTGCTGTTTTGCCTTATGTGACCCTGCAGAGAACATTGGAAACCACATTCCTCATCCACTCTATTTTGCTAAGCTCTCATTTTCCTCGAATATAACAAATCAGTCACTGGATTTTCCACGAATTATTTTGCATGAATTTTTGGAAGTATCCTTAGCATTCACAGATTGAGGGAAATGTCCCTTAAAAAAAAAAAAAGCAAGGTCATGTCTTGATATTTATTCACAAATAAGCAGAGTTCACTGTTCAGAGGATGACAACATCATCAATTCCAGTAGGGCTTTAAGTGATAAAGCTCATTGGTGTATTTTTCTAAAAGGAAAATATATTCTTAATGGATGTGATTTTTATAATGCGTGATATTAAGTTTCCAAATTTTAGGGTGTCTCAGAATCACCTGGAGGGTTTCTTAAAACATGGGTTGTTGGAGCTCTCTCCCAGAGGTTCTGATTCAGTGCCATTGGGTTGGCCCCCAATGGCACTGAAAATTTACATTGCTGACAAGATCCTGGCCATGATGCTGCTAGTCCAGGAACCATACTTTGAGAACCACTGCCTCAGCATGTTGGAGTCAGACACGTCAGCTCCTTTCCCTTTCAGATGATCATTTCCAGAGCACCTGCTTGTGCACAGCCCGGCTCTCCGCTCGCTTACTGACAGCCGGTTTATTGTAGCTGGAGGGGCTTTACAGAAAGCTGTTTATTGCTATTTCCCAACCCGGTTGACAGCATTTGGGGGATTAATTTTCTTGGCCCCAGTGTGCTTTTTGTGGGGTATGAATGAAAATGTTTTTGTTTTTTTTTTAAGTGACCTATTTACATTTGACGACTTCTTCCAGTAATAAAACAATCTGTGAGAGATGTAGTAGAGTTTGTTTCTGGGTAAGCAGTCATGTTTAATTTTCTAAATGAAATGCTTGTTTTAGAGTTTAAACATCCTGACTTTAGCTGTTCACATTTGAGAGTACTGGCTCATATACACATCTGTGTATGTATTGAAGAAATCAGACAGTGAAAATGAGTATGCGTGCTATACTCAAGTGTATACATGTACTGTGTAAGGGGAGTTGCTTCTATTCCCAGTCATTTAGAGATACTATACTACATTTATGATTACTTTTCATTTTTGAGGAATCCCACTGCAACCACTAAAATGCTATGTCATGTAAAATGCGTGAAGCAGTCATAGAACTGCTGTTTAGGAGGGTGAAGAAAAAATGCAATTGAGAGTGAAGGGAGCAAATCTTAACTAATGTGGGGCTAGTAAAAAACTAAGATACTTTACTAAATTTTGCAGTATATTGTTGACAGTTGAACACGGGTGGCATGTGGAGAAAAATTGCTCCCCCAGATGCAAATTATATTTAAAGTGTTGTCATTGCGATTTTTATTTCTACTCCTGCCCTTCGGCTAAGTGCCCTATGATCATGAAGTCAGTTTTGAGGCAAAGGATACCCAGACCCCTTGGATTGATTTAGGAATTTGAAGTGAGGATGGGCCATCTATTAAAACTGGTAGCTTTCCTCTTGGATTTGTGAGACAAATGCTTGATTTTTTTTCAGCTTCATACAGCCAAGCTATAAAATTCAAGGTGCATTTTAGTATTCATTGCTAATAACCTTAAGGAGAGTAAAAATAAAAGTTGGCACTGTATTAAGCATAGACGTGTCTTCTGATTACTGAATATGTGCTAACATAGAGAAAACAATTTCTGTAGTTAAAACATTGTCTCCTAAATTTTGCAATTATTTCTATATATAGAAGCACTCTAAACTGATGTTCCTTACCTTAGTTTCAAATGAGTCATCCTTATGGTGTCACAGAACCGGCTTTAGCATCATAAAAATTACCTTGCAAGTATTGCACTTGTGATAATGTGTTATATTCTTATGGTATATGCATAGTCTTATTAAATATTTCAAGCTATAATGCATCTTCTCATAATAGCACAAATTAAAATATATGTGAAATAGTAAAATAGAATTTGGATTCAATGAAAAACCTCAAACCTAAAATCACATTTCCTCAGAACTAATTGT